CCCCCCCCCCCCCCCCGGGCCTTAGGTTGCCTACCCCTGTTCTATTTTAACTGCCATGGTTCCATCCCATGCAATCTTGGAATTTGCATTTGAGGGCAGGGACATTTAGTATTCTCAGCAGAGTGTTCCAGTTCTTCACCAACCTGCAAACCCTAGGATTTCATAAGATGGAACCATGGCAGTAGAATAATAAGACTATAATTGTGCAGTATGAATGGGCCTCAAGTGTTTTCATTAAAGTTTGGTTGGCTTTAATTAAAGCAATTCATTTTAGAGAAAGGTACACAAACAATTTCCCGTGTCCCTGGTACTATTCTCATTTGAAATACACAAGTTGCCTTTGGGGCTATATGGTAAAATTAATTGCATGGATTTATAAGCAACTGTTGGCCAAGTTTCATGACAGTAATTTGAGAAGCACAGTTTTATAGACAAAGTCTACACATCACACATTGACCAATTAAGAGTTGAAGAGTGTTCCTTAATCTCTAATGAATCCCATCAGTAGTAATTTATAGTACTCAGGATATGTCTCCCTTTCTCATCTGTAGTCAGGATAATTGTGTTCTTGGAAACATAGTGTATGCTTTGGCTATAAGGGGCAACAAGGTCTTCTCTGCCTGATACAACCTTCCATTTCCTGCATCCTGGAAATGTAAGCTAGAAACTTACATCACACTTAGGACACAAAGTAAAGAGCTTATAGTTTTTGTGGGTTTTTCGGGCTGTGTGGCCATGTTCTAGAAGAGTTTCTTTCTGACGTTCCGCCAGCATCTGTGGCTAGCATCTTCAGAGCCTGAAAAACCCACAAAAACTATGGATGCCGGCCATGAAAGCCTACGACTTCACATTAAAGAGCTGATATTTGATACAAAATAATATAAAGACATAGAAGGCTATAGAGCAGTGATGGTGAACCTTTTAGGGACCAAGTGCCTAAACTCAGTGGCATTCCTCAGTGGCAGTGCGGAAGGGGAATAAATCCAGTGGTTCTTCTCTCCCTCCGAGGCCTGGACCATGGCAGATGGCAGGGAGGGATCATCTTCTTACTTTAGTCCAGGCCTGATAGAGCTGGCTGGGCTCTTCTCTCCCTCTGAAGCTGGATGATGTCAGATCATCGCACACACACCGCCCCCCCCCCCCACAAAACAACTTGGAGGCAACATACACACAAGTCACGCTCTCTCAGCCTCAGAAGATGGCAATGGAAATCCCCCTCTGACAAAGCTTTCCCCTAAGGTGATAATTTCACCTTAGGGTTGCCAGGAACCGGCGCTCAGAAGAGAAAGAGGGTGCTCTGGGCTGATAAGCTGGAAATGACTTGGAGGCACACAACAGCAACAACAACAAAGCACAAAAGGCAAGGCACAATAACAAGAACAAAGAGAGCCAGCAGTTTGAGTGTGTGACTCTGGAGACCAGGGCCCGAATCCTAGCTCAGCCATGAAACCCACTGGGAGACCTTGGTTAAGTCACACTCTCTCAGTCTCAGAGGAAGGCAATGGCAAACCTCCTCTGAAGAGTCCTTGTAGGGTTGCCTTTGGGTCACCAGAAAAGATTCAAAGACACACAACAACCCCCCCCCCCCGGTTGAGGAGGAAGAGGAGGAGGAGGAGGAGGAGGTAATTGTGTCCCCCATGGGACTGTGCCTATAGTGGGGATGGGGCTTCCACCCAGAAAGGGTTGGGCTTCCAGCTGGAAAGGCCCCCACACCACCCCTCCTTTTTGCGGCTCGGTTTTCTGTGGGAGAACTAGGCGGCAGCAAGGAGCTGGGTCAGCCAGCCGCGCCTCCCTGCCCCTTCTTGCCGTGGCTGCTGTGTGCCCATTGAAGTGGCCTCTCATGCCACAAATGGCACACGTGCCACGCGTAAGCCAACATGGCTATAAAGTATAGAATGTACCTGCAAACTATACATTCTAGCAGAAGAATGAATGGTAATCTGTGCAGAGGTCCTCTGTGTGGTTTGAGAGACTAGCTTTCTCATAAGAAGATAACCAGAGTAACAAAACAAGCCATAGTTGGGTCTCTTCAGAAAAATGTGGTAAGCAATAGACAGCAGTGGAAAACCTGTGGATGGGTTACTGGTGGATAGTGAATTTATAAATAGATATATACTGGGAAGGAGTCAAGCTAGACTGAATTTTGTCACTGTGTATGTCATTCTGTCAGCTTGTGTGCAAAAAATATCATATGAGGAGCATGTTTAGACTCAGAAGGAGGAGTGAAGATGGGAGGAAGAAATATCAACAATCTAAGATATGCAGATGACACCATACTGCTGGTCAAAAACATCATAGACTTGGAACAATTACCGTATTTTCTGGCGTATAAGACGACTGGGCGTATAAGACGAC